TGACGATGTAACATTGTGAAATTTAAGTGCATTTGATGCATTATCCAATCATTTACGAGTTTTTGAGGACGAACATCATTTAAATCGCCGTATAACCATACACTACGTGATTTCATCACTCCGTTCCTGGTACGTATAGAAAAATTTACATAATCGTTTACCAATACAGCAGTAGATACTTATCAGATTTTATTAACGTGTCTGGATTTTAAAAATAGAAGTAAGATATTTTAATTCAGAATTTAATAATGATAAATGTGATTAAGTTTTTATGAATCAAATGACAGCAATTCCTTAGATTAATTAGATTAAAGTTAGGAAGGTATTTACTCAGTAAATAATCATTGAGAACTATGAGAACTATCGCTTTAATTTCTTGATACAATTATCTATCATAATGAATTTTAAAGAAATAGGACATTGATTCTTATTTTTTATGAATACAAATAAAATTGGTATTATCTGTAGCGTAATATTCTAGAAATCCTAGCAAAATTGAGTACATTGGAAGTAATTTGCTATTTGTTCAACAATTTCTGTTTTCCTAGTAAATAACTTATCTTTGTATGATACATACGTTACGTACCTAAATTTGTATAGTACGTATTTACGTACCTCAATGTTCACTACGTTCACTATGTTCTCTGAGAACGCAAAAATTTTAGGATATATTTTTGGATACATTTATGTGTGGACATAAGAAATTTAAATTTTATTTTATAGGGAACAAATGAGTGAAATTAAATGAGGGGTTGATATTTGAAATTCAAAATAGAAAATGAAATAAAGTTGATGCATCGCTCATTTGCTCATTTGAAGATAAATCTGTAACCAATTTCAAATAAAATTAGATTTCTGGCTGTATAGTGTTTAGAGTATGTAATATACAAGAAAATTATTGATTAACGAATGTTTATCATGAATTATCGACATACGTACAGTACGTACTTATGCACGTCCGTAATCTGTGACAGGTTAAGCAACTGGCTTCAATCACAGTGACTATTCCTCCTAGAGCTGATTTAAATCATGATGAAAAAGGTATTGTATTTAGTAATTTGAAAAGCTTATTATTACGAAAATAAAGTTGAATATATAAAAATGATTTGATTGCATTTGGTTATTTATTCTTTTGCGATTTTTTAATTAATTTTTTTTTATCTAACGTAAGGGTGCAAATTAAAGGTTTAAATAACCCTATCGACTTCTAAGATTTTTAAAAAAACCAATTTTTTGGATAAGTTTATAAAAAAATTATGAAAGATCCTTCAAATGCCTCGCAGGTTATATAAATTTGGATATACTTTAAAAAAAAACTTATAAGAAATGGAAGAGATCGATGTTTACGGTATCACTTCATCTTTAGTTATTAATTCAAAATTTTAGGTAAACATTGCGACCGTGTTAGATAAATTCAAAGATCACTATTATGTAACAAAAATAAAATCTCCCTAATATTTTTCTTTATGATATTAGTCGCGACTGTTCAATCAAAAGTGCTTCGAAATACGAGTTCACGAATAAATGATATGGTGAAAATAATAATTCAACACTTTGAGTTTTCTTCATTCGAAAAAGGTTGAATTAAGTAAAAAAATATATATATATATTTAAGAATGTGTTAATTAGCACGGTTAAGAAACGATATATATTAGAGGAAGTAGTATTCGTAACTTTTGTTAAGTTTTTAAAATTTAATAGTTTATGACGTGATTGAAATTAATGGCTTAACCTGTCACAGATTACGGACGTGCCGTACGTATAGTAGTATCAGATTTTAACTTCGTTTGATTCGTTTTATTCGTTAAATTTCCTTTTATTGGCAATTGTGCAACAATTTTGCGTAATTGTTGTACAATATAATTAATTCGATTTTAAACTATCCTTTTTTTAGATGCAAAGAAATCGCTATCTCTATAAAATTTATAGAAATTAGGTAACTGCGCGACGTAGTCGCAGAAACGGGAAGCTTTATTTGGGTTAACAATATTTTAATTACAATATATATAAATAATCTAGGAAAACAAAATTTGAAGTAGGTTACACTGGATGCAGATCAGTTACAGGACCTAACAGCCTCAATCGTTTAAAAATTTAATCATGGTTCTAGTACGTACAGTCCAATTTCATGAATTATTTTATCTACATTCATTTATCGATAAAGCTTGAGTTATAGTTGGGCGGATAGATTGTAGTAAGATTAGTATTTAAGGTTAGTGTTTATAATAAAAAAGTATAGGTGAATTTTAGTGAGGTTAAGATTTTTAAATAGAAATCCTTAAATATCAGCATCATCTCCGGCTTCTATAAATATTTTGATACTGCGAAGATTGATTTGTCTGTTTTCTATATTTTGTGATTTCAATGATGGGTGCACTCATTATTTCAAAATGAAATGGTAAGGCGTTGATGATTTTAAAATAGGGTTAGTGATTTGAACATTGAGTGAGTTTCCTGTTTCAGTAGTAGATTAGTTATTACATTTAATATTGATGGTTAATTTTAGTGGTGGGTAAATTAGTAGTTTAAACAATAAATAAGTTAATGAATGTTTACGTTTGAGTAATGATAAAGATTTCAACTATGTGTGGATTCGAGATTTCGTAGTGTAAGTTCGTGAATTTAACTTTGGGTGTACGTTTCAGCGGTACAGTTTCGTTGTTTTGACAAGATCGTTGTGATTTTAATAGTGGGTGAAGAATATACAATTATGATCACGTTGACCAATCGGGTAATAGATTTGGGACCGCTCCAGTTTTCTTTCTTCTGTCTAAAAATTGGTTTCAAAGATCTTTTAATTAGCTTGACTTTACATAAGATAACTTCCAATAACGGCTATAAAAAAGTGTAGTTAACATATTAATTGTTTTATCAAATCGGACCGTTATATACTGCATAGTGGCACATATTGGCTAAGATAGTCGGCGAGTGTCGAGTTTACTTGCTTTTTGAGTAATATTATGTTACACGGCAATGCGTCATTGTATATTATATTATCCGACAAACTCATATGATCATGGCGCAGTTTTTGCACGTTATTTTTTAATGTGTTATGACGTAATGCCAAATATTCGAATTTTACACAATTTTTGGGTCAATGTTATTCGACTCAAAATCAATATTCGAGCCAAAATTACTTGAAATTTTTATTATTTAAAAAACAGCACAATTTACAAAGGCAAACAAATTTTATTATAAAATGTCAACTAAATACATTTAATTTTAAAAATTAAAAATGCAATTATGAAAAGTATTTCCTGAAAGAAATTTTTCAAGAAATTCAAGATTTTTTAAATCCTTTTTACTACCTCTAACCTTCTCTTTTTGATTATTCTTTTTTGCGCTCTTGTCCTTCTCTTTTTCATCATCTGTATCATGAACATTCTGATTACACTCAGTCAAAACATTGCTTGATCCATCAGAAAATACTTCAAGATCATCAAATGCATTTACCAATGAAGCCTGGGAGTCATTATATCAAAGGTACAAACTTGCAAAAATGAAATCACCAGATACTGGTACTACTTTTCGTTGACCTTTGGGAGCTTCATTATTATCAGGGGCACTGTGTTCATCATAATTATCAGGATTGGCATTGTTATTATAGTCAATAGGGGTGGTATTGTTATTATAGTCAATAGAGGTGGCATTGTCATTGTAGTCATTAGGAGCTCATAAAAAAAAAAAATTAGCTAAATGTTCAAAGCCATAATAAAGCATAATATATGAATTTTATCATTTGGAACTTGTTTTAGTGTATTAAAAAATCCATTAAGGCCTTCACGTTATATTACTAATTTTGGTCATTCATATGCAGCAAGATTTTTTTGGAACTTGAATCTAGTAATCAACATCACAACAGAATCAGAGTATCCAAGCTCCTTTAACAACTACACAGCAGTTTTTCTTCTTGAATAATTCGATATATTACGAGATCCAATTTGAATACCTGTGGTTTCGCATATGATCTTAAAATACTCTTTCAACTTTTGTTTATCCAGAGTATGTGCATAATACCATTGTCCACAGAATTCTACTAAAAAATCAAAAAAAAAATTAGTAAATTAATATTTATAAACATGAATTACATACAAAAAACTTTACCTGAATTCAAGATATTGGCTTTAGATAAAAATTTATTACGGTTGTTACTAGGCACTATGTAAAGTAAAATTCATAGTCAACAATGATGCTTTTAATCTTAGATAAGTTAATAACCTCAGCCTGTGTATCATGATTATCAAGCCCTTGTTGATTGGTTTTGGATCTATACAATTTGACATCAATTCCCTATCGACTCTTTTAAAAAAATTATTAATTTGTAGGATATAATGTTTACCATCACGTAATGCTAACAGCATTGTATTATAAAAAAAAATCTATTATAACAGGCCCTTCGGCATATTACGTTACATTGTAGAGTAGTCCAAGATTTGCTCAACCTCATTTAATGTCAACCCATCGGCTCTGACATGTTCACCAAGGCCTTTCGCAGTAAGGGTCTTCAATTTTTCATTAATTACTTGATTCAAATCGAAATACACCTTTGGATTAAGTATATCCACAGGCTTTTCCATTACCGAATACTCATTGAGATATCTCCAAATTGCTACCATACAGCTTCTTACAGACATTGTGTGATACTCTTTACTGTTCTGTCTTGTCATCACATACACAAACTTCGATAATTGATCCTCCAAGACTGTTTTTGAATTCACTTCTTCAATTTTTCTTTTATACCCAACATCAGAACAAAACTTCTCTAGTGCCTGGATCCACATTTGTGTCACCTTATGAGTCACCTGAACCTTTGCATTCTCTTGAATTTCTTTTAGTTTATGCACAGAGGGCTCCATATATTTAACTCACTAATGAAACACTATGTTAATATGTCTTTTCACTATAAAAAAATATGAAAATAATAACTATTATTAATTACCTTGGTATTAACAACTTTCTCTTGGATTAATTTCATTTTTATCATTGCTTTTATAGGTTTCAAGGGGCTTTATGGCTTCTGATAACTTTACTATTATGGTTTAAATTGGTTTTATGACTTCAGATAAGCTTTGCACTTCAAATAGGCTTTATAGACTTTACTGCTACAGGTTCACAAACTTTAATGATTGGTTTCAAAAAAGCTTTTGCAGTTTTAACTGGTTTTTACAGGTAAATTGTAGCTTTAAATTTGTGACGAAACTTTAAGCTTTGTGAAATTACAATATCAACTTTCAATTTCTATCATCTACTTTCAACTCCCAACACCTTTCAACTACATCAACTTTGAACTCAAATTTCAATTGCCAGCAATGCTTGAAGGAATGTCAAGGTATTTAGAAAAATAAAAAAAAAAAATTTTTTTCGTCAAAGAAAAAAAAGTTTTAATTTTTTTTTATCATAAGAAAAAAATTCGATTTTTTTTACTAATTTACCATTTTTTTTTCAGGTCTAAAATTGTATTTATAATATGATCAAATCAGGCCATAATCATAAATTGTCAGATAACATCATTATTAGTCAAATTTTTGTACAATGGTAATTTGGCTCAAACAAACAAATGATTGGCTGGCACGTGTCGCTTCACGGCATATGTCCAGCTGATCATTTGTCTGTTTGAGCCAAATTACTGTTATATAAAAATTTTTGACCAATAATGTACTTCTCAAACCTTAATTGAGATGTGATTAGTTAGTGATTGCAAATAGTTTGCAATTATAATTATATTTATATAAAATTTTTTTGTTGAGAATTCAAATATACATCATAATGTAATCAAACATTATTTCAATGTGATTAGTGACTATATTCATTTATTAAAATAAAAAATGCAATTGATAGTTAAGCAATTCATTTAATATAAGGCTTAGGTCTTCATTGATATTTGATTGTTATACTAAATAAAGAAAATATTGACAAATAGTAAAACTTGTTAACAGAAAAATGTAAAGCATCCATAAATGATTTTTTGAGCTATCTGGGTTTTTTTTATATTGTTTATAAAAACAATAATAAATACATAAAATAATAATCTGTTGATGATGAAATTTGATCCATAACAAGTAACAATATAAAATTAAGTATATATGAACTATAGTATATAATAAATTTTGTTATTTCAGGTTGTCTTTAATTATTTTAGCTTACCTGTTCAGAACATTACTCATAAAAACTGATAAGTAACTGATAAGTAACTCATAAGCAATTAATAAGCAACATTAAATCACTAGCAAATAATAACTTTTAATCCTAGTAACCACATGAAATCATATATATTATTGGCTAACACTAATTCTATTTAACTAATCAAAATTGAAGATTTTTTCACATATGAATTTAAATGATAAATTTGATGATTTTTTATTACTAACAAAAATATTTATTTAAGTAATAAACTTTATCAAATTATTAAATTATGTCTGGGTCCGATAGCTTAGTGGATAAGTTTCCAGACTTATCACAGACAAAGTCAACAATTCGAGTTCAGCTGGAGGCAAAATATACTCTGTAATCTAATTAGAAACCTATAACCAGATGCGAAACCCTGTGGCAAGCCCAAGTAAATACCTGTTTGAATTAGGAATTCCCGAAAGGAGATCAACCTGTGAAGTGCAGGCATTATACTTGGTGAGAAAAACAGTGAACACAGAAAGACCTGTGAAAAAGGATTGGCATTACTAATTGGGGAACACCTCTGGTAAAAAAACCTGTAACAGGCGTAGTTGTGGGATCTACCTCTGTCTCAGTAGAGTTCATCTCATGGGTAAAGTAGCCCGAAGGCCCGATGCATATTAAATTAAGTCTGGTGTTATAGAAAAAAACATTGAAAATCAGAGACTTTAAATAGGAAACCCACAGGCAGGTTTCAGGTATGGCAATTAGCAGGTAACCTGCGAGCGGAACCTTTAATTAGACAATGACTAAAATTGTACGTGTGGCTAATTGTAGGCTCGTTGATATGCAAAATGTAATACAACTCTACATAAGTAATAAGATGTTATACTTAATAAAATCCACGGAGCCATAGAGGTCTCTCTTTAAAGCCAAAAAAAAACAAAAAACTTTATCAAATTATGATTATTATTTAAAAATTCATCACAATAACAGCCACACCTGGTTTGCTTAAAATATTACCGCCAAGTAAAATTTATTCACTGACACTTTTTTTGATTTATTAGTCTAGACGTTTGAGAACGCTCAATATAAAATTTTAAGAACCAATAAAACTAGTTACATCCAAATACAAAAATACATTGCAAACAACTGTAAAATATTATTAAAATGACTCATTAAATCTGTGTTGCCGTCATTTAAGATTTAAAAAAGGTATCATTCTTTATTTATACGACAAGTAAATAAATGTTAGTCACATGATAATTAGCAATTTGGACCACTTAAAAAAAGCCGACAGAATATTCGATTCCGAACCCTAACTATATCTAATTATCTAAATTTTTAATCATAGGACCAGGTTTGAAAGACATAAGTGCACTCAAATTACATTGATGTTGGCCATCATTCATAGGTCTTAAAAAGCATCTACATAATATTTATTCTAAACTTTGCCATCATATGAAGGTCCAAAAAAAGATTTAGAATGCTACACTGGTATCTGTGTCTCTGTAAAGGAATGTGACTTAATATACTTGTGATTTGCACAATTTGAAATTTTGTAACTTAATTCAAAAAAGTAATTATGGATTGCTTTGTATACACAGGTAGAAAAGTGTACAAATCGGGTGCCTATTTTAATCCGATTCCCAATCGATTACTGCGCTAGCAATCAATTAATTGGATCATAATTGCCTCTCAATCAATTTTTTGATAGGCCTGTAAATAAATACATATCAATAATGATTTAAGATCTCCATCGCTACCTGAAAATCATATGATTAAATTCTAATGTTGATCCAAGCCAGTTCACTAAATTATGCAGTGATGTAATGTGGATCTTTTTGCAATATTTTCTAAGTTTCAGATATAATACCAATGAAATTTATCTGCCTAGTTATAATAAATTCTCTAATTGCTTAAAATTATAATTGGCGTAAACGTAAATCCATTGAGAAAATGATTATCAAGTGAAAGAATGTAACCAAAATCAAAAATCTCAAAATCATTACGTATTGCCGATCGATTTCTGATTTTCATGGCATTAGGTTTTTTTTTTAAACTGTTTTAAAGATCAACAAATTGTGCACATCAAGCACATAGGCACACATTAAAAAGTTTAAAATTCGCACATGTTTTAAGATTTTGATATGCGCTATATTTATTATGCATCTAATATCTTAATTTGATAAATATTAGTTAAGGTGCTATGTAGTTAAAAATTAATAAACCAGATTAGTTGCATATTTATTACGTATATAAGATATTTTCATTATATAATAAAATAATTGTGAAAATACAATAGAGTATTTATATATATTAGAAAATATGTACGCTGCAGTGCAACAAGATTATATGTAAAATGCTACTCGCTCATACATCCTGAACTATGAATCAGATTTCAAGATTAGCTGTAATGTAACACAATCATGAATATTCAAAACAAATCGCTCATAGCTCAAAAATCAGCGTAAAAAACCACATTTATGCTCTAACAAAAAGTTTTCGTTGGAAATTTTACTATACAAACTATTCCTCTTTAGATCCTTAATCTTAATGAATTTTAAGAATTTTGTCTGGCCTCACAATTTTGGTATGACGTCAATAAAATTATAGCGATGCATATTGATATGTAATTACACAAAGAAATCAGAAACCGTCTAACGCAAACCCGATCGTATTTTATGTATTTGATGTTTTTTTTCTATCTATAATACTAAATCAGCTATAAATAAATTTTAGCTGATTTGTTTGACATAAGCTCAAGCTACCTTGGTATCAATCTACACTTTTACAACAATGATCAGCAGGATCTACCATGAAAGATTATGTAGACTAATTTGTACACACTCGGCATTAATTTGAGCCGTAGGATACTAAAATAACCGTAGAGAATTATTTGACCGAATAAGGATACGTCACGTAAAATATATATACTACGTATCATTGGACCAAACAAAAATACGTCACGTAAAATATATATATAATACGTTTTTATATATATAGGGTATCTGTCGCTTGTGATTTCTTCGTCAAAAAAAAAAATTTATCCATCGAAAAATATCTATATCATCTCTATCTATCGAAAAAAAGCTCTATCGAAAAAGCTCTATCGTAAAAAACTCGAAAAAAACTCGAAAAAAACTTCATCGAAAAATATTCTATATTGAAAAAATGTCTTACATTGAAGTTTTTAGTTTATTATTTCTTGTTGCATTTATATTTAATTTAATTAAGAGACCTCGGATTGGCGCGGTAAACTTAATTTCACTTATGAAATGTCGACTATTATGATTTTTTGTAACAATATTGCAAATTTGCAAATTTTTTTTTTTGATAGAATGAGCCACCATTGGTACCATATCGATATCCAATTATTGGACACACATATGAATATATGTTTGATACAGAAGATTTTCTTCAGAAGTGTAGGGAACAGGTAAATGGATTTACTAGACTATGCTCCATTTTTTATTTCGGGTTTTGCTGATATCAATGGTTTTTTCATAAAGTATGGTGATCCATTTAGTTTATACGTCCTTGGGAGTGTAAAAACCTTTACAGGAGCTGAGACCTCTCATGAAGTCCTAAAGAATTCTGACATTTTTAATTTCGGTGAGGCTGTAGCAAGGGTACGTACAAGTATAAATGTTCATCTATCTACTTTGTCACCTACTTTCTATTAAGGAATATATATCGTGATTGCCACATACTTTGGTTAACTAAAATTGCACCTGACTGGATTAAGAAATTATATCCTGCATGCATTAAAAAGTTACTACATAAATAGACTGAAATGACTTATAAATCAAAATTTATAATATAAAAAAAAATGCATTCATATATATATTATTTATTTATCTATTTCTATCATTACCAGGCATTTCCTTTTAGGGATATTATAAGTCGATTCAAGGATCTCGATATAGAATATACGGCTCGAGTGGTTCATGAACATGTCAGCAATAAAGTTAATACTTACACACCAAGAATGCAAAAAGAACTTTTATCAGGAATTGAACAATATTTTGGCGACTGTAAAGGTATTTTTTTTTAGATAATTTATGAGATTTTTTATTGTATCTTTATTATTAGTTATTTAATTGCTATTTAAAAAAAATTAATAACCAATTCCCAGAACCAAAGGTTTTCAGAAATATTCAAAATACATTGGCACCACTAATCGCAAAACCTGTTACTAATGTTATTGTTTGCGAAGTAAGTTTTTAATACAGTAAAATAATCTTATAACTTTCATTTTATACTAATAATTTTAATCATAAAGGAAGCTGCTCAAATCGATGAACTTTTAAACTCATTTACAATAGTAGAACGTGAATTTGATAAAATTATGGTTATTCCTCCAATTTTATCGTTCATTCATTATTCTCTCCACACAAATTTAATTGCGTACTATGATCGTCCAATACTGATAAATCGTGACTTTCGTTTATAAATGCGTCATTTTAAAATTTATTAATAATATATTTTTTTAAATAGGTTACCATTAAAATTCGGATGGAATCCAATTACTAAACATAGAGATATTTTTGTTAAACACTGTAAACCAATGGTTGAAGAACGCCTCCGTCAAAGAAAAGAGCTTGGTGAAAAATATGTTCAAAAAGTATATTATCTCTTTAAATTTTAACCTATTTTAAAATAATGTTGTATAACTAATGGTTCTTTATTTAATAGGATGATTTGCTTGATTTCTTTATAACTGATCAACTAAATAAAGAAGATATCGTAGTTGATGATAAATATATGGATGAGTTATTTGGACAAATAATAGCGATAGTTTTTGCTTCGATTAGTACAACAACAAAATTTCTTTCATTTGCCCTTTTTGGTAATCTATTTATTTTACTCTATACTTATTTAATTAATAGAATTTTAACTTTGAGAATTAATCTAATAATAATTAGATTATGGTGCAAGACCTGAATTATGGGATGAAATTTACGAAGAACAATTAAAGATTCATAATGAAACAAATGGTATTTTAAGCCTTGAAGATGTTCATAAAATGGTCAAATTGGACTGTTTCTTAAGAGAATCTTTCAGACATTCTTCAGATATAGGTAATTATATTTGATTTATTTGATTTTTTTTATATTTGATAAAAATATTAATCCTTTTATTTTAATTCTTGTATTTATAAATTAGCCTCATTAGGGCACGTTATGACCAAAGAATCATATACATTTAATAACGGAATCACTATACCTAAAGGTATATTTATTTTTAATTTTATGCTAGTTATTTTTTTTACATTAATATTAATATTAATATTACTTTCAACAACTATACAGATCGTGAAGTTTTGGTATATATAAAAGATTCGGTTTTCAATGATAAATTCTTTGGAGAAACTGCAAATGAATTCCAACCAAAACGACATATAATATTACATGCTAATGGTAAAATTGTTCATTCACAAGCTACAAAAGTTGATAGATCTAATTTAACATTTGGAGGTGGTAAACGTGCATGCCCTGGTAGATTTTTTGCTGTTAATGAGATTAAGATGTGTTTACATAAATTAATTTTAAGATATAAGATTAGAACTGAAAGTGGTAAAATTGATCCTCTTAAAAGATTAGCTACTCATTCTTTTCCACCTACTACTGGTTTAATTTTGGAAAATCGTAATTAGTAAAGAAAATTTATATTTTATGTGGGTGGTTTTTATCTTTTTAGTTTGGACATTATAATTTACAGAATCAAATGATTTAGTATTGGAATTTTGTTTCTTCAAAGCATCTTTTCATCTTGATTTTGGTTTATTTATATTATAGTTATTTTCTTATTTGGGTAACAAGTTATAAGTGTACAATTTTTCAATAAATTACAATGCATTTTAATATAACCATATTGCTTATTTACTAAATATCAATGACGTCTTTTAAATGCTTTTTTCGTTTTTACGGATCTAATCAATGGTCTACCTATAAGCTAGTATTAGCCGACTAGAGCAGTCGGTCCAGTTAATGTAGCTACCTCGTGATCGACTTAGGATGTTCTCAAGCAGTTCCATCAAATAAGTTTAAAATTCAATATTGGAAATAAGGTCTTGTTTAAAGATGCGCAAAAAGATATTTCCATAGTGAGAAGTTCACTCCCAATATAAGAAACCATTATATATTTGCAAGTTGGTGAATGATGTATAAAAACTTAGGACAATGGATGCCCTTTAACTTTGCAGTCATTAAAAAAGTATCATAAATATAAAACAAACCAAATAGTGAAAAAAATTATAAATAATAAAAAATTTTAAATCAAACTAGGCGCTTGAGTTGCTTAAAGGGAGTTAGAAATGATTGCAGAATAAACATTTATGTATTTATATTTATATTAATAAGGTAGCTGCACGACGCAGTCACGCTAGAAACCAGGAACGAAAGCAAATCTGGTAGTTAACAGATAGTCATTAATATATTGTGAACATTTAACATACACTATAGGTAATTGACTCGCATTAGTTAATCAAACAAAAGTTTACAGGGTATCATATAATAATTTGTCAGGTTATCAAGTTATCCAAAAAATTATTTAATCAACCCAATGAAAAATCCTATAAAAAAAAATAAAAAATGTCAAATATCAGGTAAGAGTGAAATAGTAATGGCGCAAAAATTGGGCGGTCCCATGACTAATTAAATCCTAATTTCTATCTAAAAATTAATTGTTGCATTTATGGAAGGTATTATATTAAGTGCTTTATATGCTTGGGACTGAAGATTAGTGTGTATTTAGAAAGGGCATACATAGTGTGTGTATTTATAGAGAGTACATTTATAAAATGTTGATTATATATGAATAATAAATTCATATATGAAAAATAACTAAAATTTGATGAATAAATTGCATAGACCAATTAAACTTAAGATTTTATGAACAAATTTACTTAAAACATCATATAATCCATACACTTGTTCCTGGTATATTTAATATAGTTATTAATAAACTAATTACAGAATAGAAGTATTTAGAGTTTAACTCAAAACATTACATCAATTAAATATATATTCATATTTGTTAATTTAGTTCTAAAAAAAATAAAGATAATAGAATATGTGCAAATTGCAAGTGAAATAACACATCTTATACTTGGTATCAAACAGATAACCTTCAGAAGACAATATAAGGATAGACATGTAAAATAAGGATACTGATAATTGCATTAAAGAATTTCAACTTAAAGTTACAAAATATGTAAATTATAAGTCATGAAATTGGTTCTAATATTATCACAGTTATATATAATTAATCATCAAATTAAGGTCACATTTCTTACTGATTAATTAGTCACATGAAAACTAAAAAAAAATTTATTTTTCTTATTTTTATTATTTTTATTACTTTTATTACTTCTATTACTTTGAGTAGATTAATGATTTATAGAATATTTGTTTCTTATTTATAATATTAGGCATAAGAATTTTGACAAAATATTATGTAAATAAGAAATGTAAAGAAAATTAACTTTAAATACAAATAAATTCTTTTATTATAAATAAGAGTTTTCTATACAGAAATATGGTTAGTAGTAGAATTACTAAATTACAGCATTATGACATTTTATTATATGAGAAAATTAATTTTACTATAATACCTGATTGCTATAAATATTATAGATCATAATATTATAATACTTAACTGTAATGCTATAGTTATAATACTATAACTATAATACTATAATTATAAAGATCTAGTTACTATATTAAATTTGTTATAATAAATTCTCAATTTGATTAACTAACAATTATAATCTATAAAATTTGGTTTACATTATATAATTGTTTATATAATTTTTATCTAGAATTAATTTTTTAACTTTTTTATTCTAAAAATAGAAATTTCTAAAAGAAACAAGCTGCATAATAGTAAAATCTAACTATTAACATTTTTATCTGATAAGCAACTGTAGTTTCATTAGACCAGATAATTTATTTGAGTTTAATAGTTAATTTTACTTAGAATGCAATATTCAAAAGTAATTAAACTTGTATAGTCTAAATAAAAAATTTAAAGCCAAAGGTTTTGTATTGTAACTAAATAGCAAAGATTTATTATAAATTCAAATCTTATAATCCTAATATATATAATCACAACAGACAAAATCCTCTTTAGAGCAAATCAACAATTCAGTTAATAATGCTAAAATAATAGTATCTGCAAACTAAAATGCTTCTAATATTGCTAATTCATCTTATTTCTGCACAACTATTATCTAATATTTTATATTATTTTAATAAGCTTTTATAAATACAGATACAGTTGGTCTATCAGAAGGATTAGTATATATACATTAATTTGCTAATTGAATATAGCATTCAAAAGTTACATGTTTAATATCAACCACAAAATGTATTATATCATTTGGATTTTTTATATTTTTCACAACTTTTAAATTTTTAAAACTAAATTAATTGACTATAATTTTAAGATATATTAATTTTTTATTGAAGTTCAAACTACATATTATAAATGCTAATAAAATATATTTTAATTTGCTTTTGAATTTGGATATATATGCTTCTGATTGCTTATTTTTAGAGATAGATAATTGTTAATACTTATTATTACTTATTATTACCTTTAAGGATTCTTATATAATAAATAAAAAAAGCTTAGTATTTGTAAAATAAGCCCTAATCAAATTTTAAATTTTTATTATTTAAGTTATATTTATGAATTATAACAAGTAATAATTAGTTATATAAATATATAAGATTAAAAAATAAGTATTTGTTATTTACTTCTTATTTTATTTTTTTTAATTATTAGTATTTTTAAATTAATCTAATAAAAATCTTATAAAAAAAATAAAAAATGCCTAATATTAGATAAATACACAAATTATTTTGTCTAGATTACTAATTTTTGTATCTAAAATTTTTACTTTATTATTGTTAGTTATTACAACTATAACATCACCACTTATATTTGTATTTTTTTGTATTAAATTATTCAAACTTAAGATTTTATAAACAGTTCCTATTTAAGAATACAATTTAAGACATATACTTTATAATTTAATAACTCTGTTTTTGGTAATGCTTTTAATAAATCTCAAATATAATTAAATCAGATTTGTTTAATATCAAATAAAAGCTTAAGTTTTTTGTATATAATTTGTATGGACACTAAATATTTTACAATTATATTACTAAAAAATGCTTTATCTAATTGAATAACAAAATCAATTTCTAAAAACAGTTTAAATTTAAAAATTTTTTTAAGATTATTTTAATAATTTAATAAATAAAAGTAAATAATAAAATATAGCTTTTTTTTATTATATAATATTTTATTTTTATAATTACTTTATAACTTTACCAGACAAAAGATTGTTTTATATTATTTTAATAACATTATAGTATCTAGATACAATAGCATTATAGTATTTTAATATAGCTGCATTACAGTTATAACATTACAAAATTATAGTTAAAGAATTACAGTTAAGATATTATAACTCAAAAAAATTATAACAAATAATACAGTATATACTATAACTATTGTAATAATAAAATAATAAGTTAGTTACTAACTAGTCTAATTTTACTAATCAGTTGTATCTTATAGATGTTTTCAAAAATATTCTTTTGATCTATTATAAATATTTATTATATTTAATTTTTTTTTTTTTTGGAGTTAAGATGAGATCATGCCTCAAGTCTGTTTATTTGAACATATTGTTACAGTTTGTACAACTTTTTTACATTATACATTATCTATTACTATATGTCTAATTAAGAAATGAGACTCAGACTAATTTATCTGCGACCTAAA